TTCAGGGTCTCACTACTAGATCAGACTCATAGTGATCCACCTGTTTACAGCCTCCCAAGAGCTGGGATTACAGGCACACGCCACCATGCCCAGTCTCAATCCCCAGTTCAGCGTGCCCCGTGGGTAGGGCCTGCGTGGCAGTCCGGAGGATTAAATCCCCAGCCCCTGTGCCTGCTTGCAGGTGCTTTAATCCACTGAGCTATTTGGCCAGCCCAGTAAACATTTTAAATGAAAGAAAGAAATACAAATTTTCCATCAGTGTAAAGAAAATACTCACTTGGGGCATGAGCACGTAATGCAGTGATAGAGTGCTTACCTAACATGTGAGGGCTTGGCTTCCATCCCTGGCACTGCCAGGACTCACATACACCCCTTCTTCTTTAGTTTTTTCCTGTCTGGCTTACTTCTTCTCCCAAGAAACTGATTCAGTCTTTAGTAATTTCTTTGAAACCTGCTTATCATAAAATCTGCTGTCTGAGAGTCTGGCCAACACAGGCAACCGTTGATGGAATAAATACTACAAAAAAATGACACATGAATTCCTTCTGGAATAGCTTTAGACACTTGACCAAGAGCTCTCCCCTGGATTTGTATTTCCATCTGTAAAATGGGCCCTTTCTGGAGCATTTCACTGGGCCATCAAGAGGCATTTTAGAGGACAGATGTGAAAAGGCTAGGTCCCCAGGCCTCACCAAGTCCCCAGGCCTCACCAAGTCCTCAAGCCTCACCAAGCAGAGATCAGGCATGTTCGAGATCAATGCCCCTGTGACTCACCATGAACTTCTCTTCTCCCTGTGGTGATCTGTTCATCAGGAGCCTCTTAGGCCCTGGGATTCTAACCACTTTCACTGAAAGTTTTCTTCTAATATTCATACCATTAAGCTTCCAACTTATTAATCTTGTGTTTCTCTTTGGGCTTCTTTCTTCTCCACTTCCACATCTTTGTTCTCTCTGGAATTTTCCATCATTCCTACTCCCCACAGTATCCCAGGCCTCATCACTCTGGTAATGGGTGAATTAATTAATCCCCGGAACCACTGGGTGTAGCAACCCCCTCAGTTAAAATGTGGAACCAGAGAATATTAATTGTGTCTTTTCCCCACTATAAACCTAGAAAATTTAGAACTCTTGGTTCAAGGTTAAAGAACTCTTAATTTGATTCTATATCAGCTAATTAGGAATAGTAGAAATGTAAAGTTCCTAAGCATGAAGAATGATTTCTTATCACAATCACACATGAACAACAACAAACATTTTCTGATGTTCTGTGATATTGATAGAAATAACCAAGGACTTTCTCATTTGGTCTTATTGAAGTATAATAGCAGAACCCAAATCCATTTGCACATTTTTGTTTTTCTTAGTTCTTTGACCCCCTAATTTGTATGACAGTCTTTTCCACTGATATGGCCATTGAAATGAAAGATCCGGGCCGGGGAGATGGCTCAGTGGAATAAGTGCATCCTTGGCAAGCGCAAGGGCCTGAGTTCAATCCCTGGTTCTGCCAAAAAAAAAGAAAAGAAAAGAAAAGAAAGATCCAAGTCAAAAGTACAGGATTGTTCTCTGACTTTAAATCTTACAAGACACAGAAGGATTCCAACCTGGGGGCAAACCTTGGGAGACACAAACCCAGCAGCCACGCCCTTGGCTCTGAACTCTCTCCTAGGCAGCTTTTCATGTGCAACCACAGATCCCCTGACCACAGCAAATAGAAAACAAAACAAAACAAAACAAAATAGGGACCTGAATACTGCATATGCCCAGACACTCAACTAGCTTAGATGAGGGAGCAAATGTTTCCTTTGTTTCATTTTTAAATTAATTTGGAAAAGCAGCCCAAATTTTCCTTTGGCCACAGGTAGAAGTGGCCACATGATCTATTCACCTGAAGCCATCTCCTCTGGCTTCTAGTTTTAGATGTTTGCCTAATAGAGTCAGCAAAGGAAATTTTGTGTCTTGTGTCTTGAGAGCAAAGAGGAACATTTATAGAATAGATTTTGTTCAAAACGCTAGTGTTTCTCTGGTTCTTTGTCTGGGCCAGTGGTTCTCAAGAAAACATGATTTTGCCTACCA